TGCTCCACTGCTACTTTGTGATTTGTGACAAATCCTTTGCCTTCTCTGAGCCTGGTTGTGAAACAGAGGCATGTCCATATGTCCATAACCCAGTCCTACCTAATGGGTTGTTATGTGGACCAAATGAGGGCAAGTATGCTTTGCAAGTAGAAGGTGCTACTGTTGGTTTTGTTGAACTGCATTACTGAGGTGTGGGGTAGGAAGGAGTGAATGACTGACACCTCATAATGGCTATGCATGGTGCTTCTGTATGAAGGCCTGAGTGTGGTTAAAAGCAAGGACTTTGTGATCTGATTGTCAGAGTTCAAGTTCAGGCTCTACAGGTACCTATTTTGTGGCCTTGGACAAGGTTTTCATCTATGATGTGGTGATAAGAATAGCCCCCACTTCATAGTGTTATTGGAACTGATTAAATTAGTTAATATTTGTAAATGCCTAGTCCAGTGCCTGGCACATAATACATAATATAAAGTGTCAAATAAAAGTGTTTTTGGAGAGTTTGGTTGATTGAATTTACAAATACTTTTGGGGACTTCAGGTTGACAAAACTGAAAAATTTCAAAAGTTTAACATGGTCTCTCTAAACATTTCATAAAACACATTTTTTGCCTAAACCAACAAAATTAATGTCTTGAGAATTATATGTTGCTAAGAATAATATGGGATGAAAATAGACATATTGGTCACCACGTTTATACTCACAGCTGCAGCATCTCAGTGGCCAGCTGCTTACGTGTTCTGAGATCCTCTAGCTCTTCAAGGAGAGGGGGAAGGAGGAATGTGGTTATGAACCACACAACAACCTGGAAATACTTACTTCACACACTTACTTCAGTGTGTCACTGTTTTCCCATTTCCTTGCCATGCATATGATGCCAAGAATTTAAGCGTCAATATTCATTAAGTACGTTACATCAAGTGACCAGCTCATGGTGTCTTAATGGAAACTGTGAATATTGTAGATAAATTCTGTTTTTAAAATCATGTAGTGGTCTCCGTTGCCGTCAATAGTCTGAAGAATGTGGTTGATCATCTGCTTAGCTAGGTTAGGAAAGCAGCTCTGATTTCTTGGGAAGAAGATATTTTACAGGTCGTAGCATTGTGTCTGGGAGTGATTCACTAGTTCTCAAACAGTACTTTTTACACTGTGTGTCTGTGTGGGTGCAAACTGTTGAAGTCCTTACTTGGTAGAGAGTTGGTTTTCTGTATACAGAGTTAATTAAAAATGAATCTTAAAGAAGAATGGGATGGGAGAGGGAGTAGGAGGTGGGATAGGCGTAGGGGAGGGAGGGTGAGCATGGGAAGAAAAACCACTATATTCGTAAAGTTGTACCTATGAAAATTGTATTCATTAAATAAAAGCTTTAAAAAAAAAAAGTGAGTCAACTGCCCACAGTTGTTTCTCAGGATGAAAACATAGGGAGGACTGACTTTACCTGACACCAACTGCCTGTTGTTGCTGCCTCAGGTGATTACAAGTCTGACCCATTAGGTGGCTTGCGGCGGACACCGCTATTGAACAGCAATGACTGCTTTAAAAATTGAAACAGCACCAAGTATAGACTCTACTGTAGGATTTAATGTTGTTTTCCAAATGATGTCCTTCATCAAGCCATGGATAACAATTGCTTAAAAGCCATTAAGAGTTCTAACTCTTTTTTGCTTTTATTAATTTTTTAAAAAATTGAGGTGAAAGTCACATAAAATTAATCATGTTAATGTGAAGCACTCAGTGACAATTAGTCTAGGCATAGAGTTGCGTAATCACCACCTCTGCCTAGTTGCAAATCATTTTTTGTCACTTGTGATAAAACTCTGTACCCATTAAGTAACCTACTTCCCATTCCCCAACTCTGTTACTTTTAAAAACATTTTTGTTGTTTTTGAAAGCCAGAGAAAGAGAAATATACAGACAGACAGACACACACACACACACACAGAAACCAAGAAGGTAGACAATAGACAGTGAGCTCTTATTTGCTGGTTCACTCTCCAGATGCCTGCAACAGCCAGGGCTGGGCCAGACTGAAGTGAGGAGCCCAGAACTCAATCTGGGTCTCCCACCTGGATGTCAGGGACCCAGGTATTTGACCCATCACTGCTGCTTCTCAGGGTGTTCATTAGCAGGAAGCTGGAATCAGAAAAGAAGCTGAAATTCAAATCCAGGCACTCCAGTGTGGAAGGCGGGCATCCCAGTTGCATCTTAACCGCTGTAGGTCAGATGCCTGCCACCTTTACTGATTTTAAGAGAAAGATTAATCATGGGAATTTCATGTGTGTGTGTGCATGTTGCGCATGCTTTGTTTTTAAAACCTATTTGTCTGCTTTATAAGGTGTCTTCTTCATACTTGTTTTCTGGTTTCAAGGGTGAGAGATCTAATTAAATGTGGAAATTTAGGCAGATTTGACTTTTGTGATTTTAGGAGGCTAAAACTGTAGTGGAAGATAGCTCCTTAATTTCTCTGTTGGCACCAATTGAGGAGGATTTATTCTAAGACATAGGTGGGTGGTGAGATTGGCTTTTGGAGCAGTAGAAAAGCAATATGGCCAGGATAGCTTTAGGATAGGAAAGAGCTCTTTGAGTCATTGAACTCTTACAGAGCTCCAGGAAATACAGAGCATTCCAAAGACTGCAAGTCACTTCTCTTCTCTTTTCTATATACTTCTTTCTTGCTCCACTTTTATGCCTTTCCCTATAAATGTAAGGCCCCAAGACCACTGGTCCAGCTGGGATGCCGTGGTGTGACTGAGTCCTCTTTCTGGTCTCTCTCAGATTAATTGAGTTTGCAGCAAATACTAAAGGAAACAGTTTGTTTCTCTAGTCATTTTCTATATCTGTCTCATATTGGTAGCAATATTGGCCATTGATCATCATTACACATAAAATAAGGATTGCCTCCATGAGTCTTAGAGGTATCTAATATCTCCTAAATACTTACTTCAAATAATATTAAAGTATATGTCATCAGGTCTCATGGGTTTAATTGATTTTGTGTAGCTTGTACTCTGTATAAGTCTATTCTCTGTAAACCAAAGTATAAATGCAGCAAATGCTGTAGGTAATTACCTTTTAAAGGCAGGTATTTGGGCTGGTCCTGTGACTCAGCAAGTTAAGCCTCTGCCTGAGACACTGGCGTCTCCTATGGGCACTGATTGGAGACCAGGCTGCTCCACTTCTGATCTAGCTCCCTGTTAATGTGCCTGGGAAGGCAGCAGAAGATGGTCCAATTGCTTGGGCCCCTGTACACACGTGGGAGACCCAGAAGAAACTCCTGGTTTCTGACTTTGACCTGGCCCAGACCTGGCCCTGGCCTTTGCAGCCATTTGGGGAGTGAACCAGCAGATATAAGCTCTCTCTCTGTGTCTCTTCCTCTCTCTCTGTAACTCTGCTTTTCAATTAAATAAAAAATCTTTGGGGAAAAAAAGGTAAGTATGTTCTGAGTATCATTAATCATAATTTGTGATTTTTATGTTTGAATTGTGATATATTTAAATATTCATGTATTGTGGTTCCTGTAGCCTAATATAGCTGATATAGTCTTCATTGATATCCAAGGGACATAGTTACAGTAATAATCTGGATTAGCTTTGAAACTAAATAAATTACTAATACAGAGTCATATTTACTTGTCATAGTTTACCAGGAGGAGATTAACAAATGGAAAAAAGAATGGATGATCTAATTTATTTCACTAGCATAATTTTATTTGTATGGAAGAGCAACTATAATCAGAATACCAAAAACTTTAAAAAAATTTTTTTAAAGATTTGTTTATTTATTTAAAAGGCAGAGTTACAGAGAGGCAGAGGCAGAGAGGGAGAAAGATCTTCTATCTGCTGGTTTACTCCCCAAATGGCCACAGCAGCCAGAGCTGGGCCAATCTGAAGCCAGGTTCCTGGAGCTTCTTCTGTATCTCCCACATGAGTGCTGGGACCCAAGCATATAGACCATCTTCCACTGCTTTCCCAGGTATGTTAACAGGGAGCTGGATTGGAAGTGGAGCAGCCAGGACTCAAGCTGGTGACTATATGAGATTATAAGGCAGCAGCTTTACCCGATACGCCACAGTGCTGGCCCCGCAAAACTTTTTAAAAAAGGTGTTTTCACCACCAATGTTATCAAAGTAATACATGCTAATAATAGAGAATTTAGAAAATTTTCTTTGCATATTTCATGCATAATTGTGTCTTATCCCATGTGAAATTTTGTGTCCTCTATTTTCTACTGAGTATGAAGATGTAAACATTTCAAAAAATCTGCAATTCATTCTCAATAAATCATGGTACATGTTATCTACTACTGATGAGAAAAGATGTGAATTAAAGTGCTGGCTTTATTCAGAGAGTTTGTAGGACATTGTGTGTAATGAGTTCACCCCTGAGAGCTGATTGTGGTCTCGACTGAGTTGCTGCTTCAATCTTTTAGCTCTTTAGCCATTTTAATGATTGAGTTATATATTCATTCTCTTCAAATTTGAAATGCTTATTCTCTCTGTACACGAAAAAATAGGATAATGATTTTTCTCAAAGTAAGCAGATAGCAGATGTTGATATTAAAGTATTTAAGGATTGAGGTCTCATTTGAAAGTGAACCAAGCTTCTAGTTATTTTTCATGATTTTAGGTTCTAGTTATTTTTCATGATTTTACTTCTAGGCATTTATCCTTTTATGAAGAAATAAATTCATCTTTAAGAATTTTATAAGAGGTTTTGTTATCTTGATATAAAAATGCCTTGCTTTCATTGGGGAAGAATGTAAGATGTGTATGGAGGCAATCTTTATTTTATGTGTAATTCTCTGAGTTTCATCATGGAATCAGCTTTCTCTTCATGTATTAAGTTGTCAATGATGTTTTATAATTTTTATGCTGATCTAAATATATGAAAACCACATTATCTGTAAGGATACTTTAGGGTTTGGAACATATGTAGTTCAAAGAATCCCTATATTCTAACTCCTGAAGATCACATGGAGTCAAACTTTTTTTCCTTTCTTTCAGCCAGATGAATTATACTTTGAGGAAGGTGATATTATCTACATTACTGACATGGTAAGCCCTGCTAACATTTTTCATACTATACATGTACTAAAGATATGCAGTGTAAGACTAATTTAGCCAAAGTATTGTAAATTATTTAAATGTATATGAACCTGAAAATACATATGCACAAATCTGTCCATTCTAGTACAATATACAGTAGCATAAGAGTGAAAATAACCTTTATGCCCATTAGTTGAAAATAGTTGAATAAGCTTTGGTATGTCCACAAGTAGAGTATTATGCAGCTATGCAAAGGAATAAGAAATGTCTTTACATGCTATTAAGGTCTTCTTAATTTAAAATAAAAGATGGAAAGGTGAATCATAGAATGAAATTTAAAAGTTAGTTTTCTGTATGAGGATGAAGGGAAATAATAGGGCAAACTAAACATAGAAACCAGACTTTTGGAAAAATTTTTTTTTAAATTTGGTTTTGGATTCATGTATACTTTTATATAGTTATAAAATTAAACAGAAAAATTCAGTCCCCTCAGATTAAAAGCAGAATGAACCAAATGAACTTAAATGGACTGTGATAGTTGGCATAACCACACAGATAGGAACTGTTCCAACTGACTTTAAAACTCAGCTAAAGATTTGGCTAAACATCCTGGTAGAATATATATGAAGAACAAAAAGGACTACTAACAGTTTTTCGTCATGCTCTTGTTGGAGAAGTGTTGCTGTTACTAATTCTGAGATGGTTGCTTGTGTATTGTGGTTTAGAGCAAATGAGTCACTGGTGGTGAGGGTGATCACTGCTGTTTTCAACACTGGAGAAAAGATGTACAGATGTAAAACTGGTGATGTTAAGTAGATTTCAGTTCTCCTTTATTTGAATTGGAAGTATCGTGTCATACATTTTTAATTAATTAATTGATTTGGAGGGTAGAAAGATACAGGGAGATAGAAACCGTGGTGGGGAGTGGGGGTAGGGAAGTGGGGAGAAAGAGAGAGGTTGTTTTCTCCCCAAATGCCCACACAGCTGGGGCTTGACTAGGGCCAGAGCCAAGAATCTGGACCACAATCCTGCTCTTTCAGGCAGGAGACAGGAACAAGATTACTGAAGCCATCTCTGCTGCCTTCAAGGTCTGTACGGGGGAAACTGGAATCAGGAGCTGGAACTAGGAATCGAACCCAGGCACTCCAGTGTGGGACACAAGTGTCTGAGCTGCTGGGATGTGCCCACTCCTCATGTCATATTTTGTCTGAAATAAAACAAAACAAAAATACTCTCTGCTGTGCTATTTGAAAGGGCCTAGAAAAAATGACCACCTCAGTTGTACTATTGTACTGTAGTATACTATTGTACTGTAATAGTGCATCAAAATACAGGGAAAATGGAAATAAAAATGTTTATTTTGGTGCAAAAAAGTTGAAATCCATGTGTAGTATTTTCATAATACACATTTTCCATGAACTTTATGAAGACTCCTCATATGGTATTTCCCATTAAAAGGTACAGGTTTTCTTTGAGCAGTAGCTGGTGCCAGGTATCTAGGGCAATAAAGATACAAGAAAGCCCCAGAACATTGTTATCCAAAAGCAAGGATAAAGACTGCTTGGGCCACATTGCAAGGACTCAGGGAGTAATCTGAAGAGGGCCCTAGTCAGCGGTAGGACAAGTGCAGCATCAGGTAGAGTACCAGCCCCAGGTGTTGAAGCACAGTAAGTGTGCTCAAGTTTATGAGCTCCTAGTGTTCCTTCTAAGCAAACAGGTATCATTGGTCAGCAGGGGAGGATACTAGAGAACCAAGTTTTAATTCTGACATGGGTAAGGGAAAAAAAATCAGCATTCACTCTCCATGAACTTTATCTCTGGGTAACCTAGGAAGAAAGTTTCTCTTCAAAGACATATCCTAGTTCTTTAAATGAGAAAGGAATGATAGAATTAGAATGTCATCATCTTGCAGTCCCTATGAAATAATGGATCCACACTGTGCTCCCAATGGCTGTTAACAAAAAAGACCACCATACATTATGTTTTTCCTAGTGGAAGAAAGCAATACTACCTATGAAATAACCTTGCGAAAACATTTGAAGCTGAATGTAATTAAGCCCCTAGAACTAACTACCAATTTATGGGCAATGCAGGAAACAAAGGAGCATGTTTAATGATGATGACACAGGATGCAGCAGGCAAAATCCAGACTGTTTGAAACTCTACAGAACAAACCAAATGCTTATTTTTTGACAAATATGTTGCAAAAAACAAAAAAGAAAGGAGGGAGAATTTATAGGTTAGAAGAGACTTGAGAGCCAAGTCAATCAGTTGTGTTAATGGTCCTTATTTGGATCTCAATATATGGGACAATTTAGAAATTTAGAGTTTTAAAAAGATTTATTTATTTATTTGAAAGAGTTACAGAGAGAGAGAGAGGGAGTGACAGAGTGAGAGATCTTCCATCCTCTGGGTCACTACCAAAATGAGCGCAATAGCTAGGGCTAGGCCAGGCCTAAGTCAGGAGCTAGGAACTTTTTCCAGGTCTCCCACATGGGTGGCAGGGCCCAATCATTGGAGTCATCTTCTGTTTCTTTCCCAAGTGTATTGGCCTTGAGCTGGATTGGAAGTGGAGCAGCCTGGACAGGAACAGATGCCCATATGAGATGCTGGTAGCACAGGTGGCAGCTGTGTTTGCTGTGCCACAATGCCAGCTGTGGGAAATTTGAATGTTAAACTAGATATTTGTTGATATTAAGGAATTATTACTAAAGAGATTTTAAGCCATGATAATGGTATTATGATTATCTTTGAAAAAATTCTTATATTTCAGAGACACTAAAATTTTTACAGATGAAATAACATGATGTCTAGAATTTATTTCAAAATAATCCAGGAGGAGAGGGATATTATAGTGTGACTATATATAAAATGATATTAGCCATTGGTAAATGATTCATGCAGTTGAGAAATGGGTTATTATATTGTTCTTTCTACTTTTGTATAGGCTTAAATATTTTTTTTTTTGGACAGGCAGAGTTAGTGAGGGAGAGAGAGAGAGAGAGAGAGAGAGAGAAAGGTCTTCCTTTTGCCATTGGTTCACCCCCCAAGTGGCCGCTATGGCTGGTGCGTTGCGGCCAGTGTGCTGCGCCCATCCAAAGCTAGGAGCCAGGTGCTTTCTCCTGGTCTCCCATGCGGGTGCAGGGCCCAAGGACTTGGGCCATCCTCCACTGCCTTCCCAGGCCACAGCAGAGAGCTGGACTGGAAGAGGAGCAACCAAGACAGAATCCGGCGCCCTAACCAGGACTAGAACCCAGGGTGCTGGTGCCGCAGGCAGAGGATTAGCCTAGTGAGCCACGGCGCCGGCCTTAAATATTTTTGTAATTAAAATGTTACCACAAAATGAAAGTAAATAGAGATCTTTAGAAAAGCCCCCAAAATATCCTGAAGATAATAAAAGAAGTTCTAGACCAAAAAATAAAAAATCATAGAGCTAGACTAATGCGATATTTTCTGCCTTTTCTTTCATACATCTCTCATGTGTTTGGTTGTTGAGGCTCTGTGATAAAGTGTCTCTGTTTGTGTCAGGTGCCTATGTATTTGTAATTCAGTGTTAAGGGAAATGGATCACCATAGCTAAAGTATGAGAAAGCTTGTTGAGTGTGGGGAGGGAAGATGGTTGTTTATGGGACACATGTGCCCTATAAGCCAAATGATTTTAAGAGCAATTGCATGTAAACTGGATTTACGTCTTCTTTCACTAGAGTGATACCAATTGGTGGAAAGGCACCTGCAAAGGCAGGACTGGACTCATTCCAAGTAACTACGGTAAGTGTGGCCAGAGGGGCTTTATTTCAGCTTTGCTTCTTAACTTTCAACTATCTGATTCTGAGGCCTTTCAGCTTGCTGCTGTGGCTGAAGAATCAATAGCGTTACTGCCTATCCAGTACATTTTTCACCCAGTGAGCCTCTAATTAATAAAATGAGCATGAACACCAGATGTGCCTGAGCCTGACTCCTTGGCTAACGAGAATGCATTGTACTATTCTTGAAAGAACCCAAGATTTCCAAGGAAACACTGATGGTTTTACTTTGTGGGACTCTTAGAAGTTGTTTTTCTCCCATGTGGTTAACCTGAATCTCACAGATTGTCTCTTAGGCTAGCCCTTGCATTTGGGGGGCAGGGATGTTCCTTAGTATAGCAGTTTGGGACACTCAAGCGATGAGACATGGCTCCTGTCATGAAGCTGCTTCTAGCTGAAAGACAGACAAAACAGACAAAACACTCAGGTAGACATTAGTGAAGTAGGAGGGTGCATTTGGCCCACTGGTTAATTTTAACTGAAAATTGATCTCTGTAAAAGATAAGAATGGGACAGGAAGAGGGAGGAGGAAGAGAGGCGGGAATATGGTAGGAGGAAGGTAGCAGGGAAAGAAGCATCATGTTTCCAAATCCGTGTATATTAAATGCATGAAGTTGTATTCCTTAAACAAAATAATAATTAAAAAAAGACACTGCCAAAAAAAAAAAAAAAAAAAAAAAAACAGCTAAGAATCTTGCCTCTGGCATTGGAGTGCATGGATTTGATCCTGGCTCCAGCTCCTGCTAATGTGGATCCTGGGAGATTTTTGTGGTCATTTGGGAAGTGAACCAGTTGATGGGAGTGAGCTCTCTTTATATCTGTCTGTCTGTCTGCCTGTCTGTCTATCTATCTATCTATCTGCTGTAAGTCTTTCTTTTTTGCTTCAGAAAGAAAGAAAGATAGAAGTAAAGGCAAAGGAGCACAGATTGCTAACAAAATTCTTCAGTTTGATCTGTTTTTTTTTTCCATGTTGTAATAATTGAGCATCTTAGTTAACATAGCTGCTACTTCTAGGATTTGATATCCCCTTCTGTATAATGAAAGGGTTGTATCTAGATTTCCAAGATTCCTTTATAATTTAGTGCTTGATGAATCCTTAGATTGATAGAGCTGGCATCAATCACCAGTTAACAAGCACTGGAAGGAGACTTAGAAAACATCAAGGAAGATACTTCAAATCTCCTTGGGGATGTAGGAGGTGAGGGCTAACGCTGGGGGCCCTGCACAAGGGCCCTGCTTGCCTTGATCCTGGGGTGGTAATATTCTTTGCCAAGAGAGACTTTAAAATTTTATTTATTTAAATTTTTATTTAAAAAGGAGAAAGAGCGAGAGAGAGTATTTTCCATCAGCTGGCTTCTCCCTAAATGTCTGCAACAGCTGGGGCTGGGCCAAGCCCAAAAGTCTAAAACTCAATCCAGTTTTCCCATGTGTGTGACAAGGACCGAGCTAATTGAGCCATCACTGTTGCCTTTGAATCCATATTGGGAGCAGAGCCAATATGGAATTCAGATGTCCAAGCAATGTCTTTTTTTTTTTGACAGGCAGAGTTAGACAGAGAGAAAGGTCTTCCTTTTCCGTTGGTTCACCCCCCAAGTGGCCGCAACAGCCGGCACGCTATGCCAATCCAAAGCCAGGAGCCAGGTGCTTTCTCCTGGTCTCCCATGCGGGTGCAGGGCCCAAGGACCTGGGCCATCCTCCACTGCCTTCCCAGGCCAGAGAAGAGAGCTGGACTGGAAGAGGAGCAACCAGGACAGAATCTGACGCCCCAACCGGGACTAGAACCCAGGGTCCTGGCGCCACAGGTGGAGGATTAGCCTAGTGAGCCGTGGCGCCAGCCCAAGCAATGTCTTAATCACTGTACCAAGTGTCTGCTCCCTGCCACACCAATGACTTTAAACACCCATACACTTGCCTTCACCTTTGAAATCCCAGGTATACCCTGGTAATGCAACTCCATTTCCAGCCTTGGACATGGACACTGAAGGTGGAAAATGTGCCATTGCTGTTTTGGATTCCAGTAGTCAGGGAAGTGTTGTTAGAGCCCTTTCATGGCTGGAAGGTGGGCTGTGAAATCCTCCTTGACTGCTAATCTTCCTCTGGCACTCCACTCCTGCTGATTCTAGAACAACAGTGAACACACCTTCCTTAGCGCAGGTATGCAGATTGCCCTCTGAACGCAGGAAGCAAAATATTTCCTCCTCATTTCTTCCTGTATTGCTACACTCAGGGAAAGCAGTTACTTTTAGGCATCTTCAAAGTAGGGTGTTTTATAGCATGTAAAACTGACCATCGGGTGCTTTTTTTTTTTTTCATTTTTTGTTGACAATTTGTTTGCTAAATATTTGAGTAAACTGGTATGCAGGTCAGAGATGTGTATGTGTGTGTGTGTTTAATGTATTTCCAGCTAATTACTGTGTTTGCTTTTTTTATACTTCTAGTTAATTGCTGTGTTATTGCCTTGTTGCTTGGCTTGGTTTCAGTTAACACATAATTCAACTGCTTTTTAAAGCTGGAACCATCTGTTGAATTTTTGTAGGGTCCAAGGTCCTGCCCTCACGAAGCCTGAGGATGGTGGTGAGGGAGTGAATTCAGTGGTTAACTTGGATAGCGGTCTTAACATTAGGTTTTCACTTTTTGTTCCCAATCCAGTGGCCGAACAGGCAGAATCCATTGACAATCCATTGCATGAAGCTGCAAAAAGAGGTATGTGTGATTCTTTTTTGACTGAGGTATACAGTTCAGCAGAATGTACAGATTTTAATTACACAGTTCTATAAGTTTTGGCAAATGCACACACCCATGTAACCCACACCCAGATCAACATTTCAAACATTTCCATCATCCCAGAAAGTTCCTTCTTCCACCTTCCCAGTTAAATCTTGCCTTCCCCAGAGGCATCTTTGTTCACTTCTGAGTACCCTACCTGCCCTGTACTCAGTAGTGGCAATGGGCAAGTTGAAACACACAGTCTGTGGTTTCCAAAATCAGGATGTGTGGACCAGAATATTTATGATGTGGTGTGATAAGTACCACCATGGAAAGGCATTTCAGTTAAATGGGCCATAGAGGCTGGAGTAACTGTTGGGCAGGAGGGTGGAGGCTTCCTGGGGGTTCAGCATCTAGGAGAGTGTTGGTTGTGGTTGGCAAGGGATTGTCAGGGAAGGGCATGAACAACAGAGATGGGTCAGGGGAGTGCCATGGCTGAACTATGAGGGGCCTTGTTTGGGCTTCATCTTGTAGATCAAAGGACCTCAACTAGGAGTGATTCTTTCCACACCCTTGGAGATATTTGCCAATGGGAGGATACATTTGATTACCGTGATTTGAAGGGTGCTTCTGGCATCTTCTGGGTAGAGTACAGGGATGTTGATCAGCATGCTACTGCGCAAGGACAGTCCCCACAACAAAGAATTCTCTTTTGTTTGTATTTCCTAACCCCTAATGCCAGGAGGGCCAATGTTGAGCAACGCTTCTGTTCATTCTTTGAGTATTTTGGATATTTATGAAATCTGAATGTGCTAAAGGAAATTATTGGTTGAAGATTATGGATAAGTAAAGCTACCAAACTTGCATTTTTAAATTTTTTTGTAAATTAGATACTTAAGGCATTAGCCTGATGATTTTAAATTGTCACACTTTAGAATGTAAGAACACCAATTTTCAGTAGGTTATTTAGTGTTTCTTTTCTTGGAAGAACTGAAAGTGCATTTTAAACGTGAATGTGAATAGTACCTGCTTGTCCTTAGGTTTGACTATTTTTTCCATAAGTTCTACAGTTTCACAAAGGAAAAAATGCATAGCTATGTATTTTTACAGAATAGAAATGCCCTAAGTAGACCCATTTAAGAAGCTCTTCTCATTAACATACCATTAAAGATTGATGTTAATGCTTTCCATTAATAAAAACTAAAAGTCCAAACCTACCATAATAAATGCTTTAGTGGGCAGATCTTAATTTAAGACTCACGGATTAATCCAGTACAAATAGAAGTTTATGCAGGATGAAATTGATTTAAAAGTGAAACAAAATATGAAAACTTTTTTCTTGTGTTTTTATGAGTGTGAAATTCTTCCAGGCAATTTGAGCTGGCTGAGAGAGTGTTTGGACAACCGAGTGGGTGTCAATGGCTTGGACAAAGCCGGAAGCACTGCCTTATACTGGGCCTGTCACGGCGGGCACAAAGGTATCACGTTTTGTTTGTTAGAAATTTCTATGCTGCTGAACATGCGTTTCACCTAAGGGAACCAGGTTGACAAAAATGAAAAAATCAGGTCGCCAGTACTTTTTGAGTCCTGTAAGACGTCAGCCAAAAGCTTCATTCCTGGAAGCCGTGCATATCCCTGGGTGGAATGTGGTCAGTCAGCCCGCTGCAGACCTCTCACTTGAAATGCTGGAAACTTCCCTTCCTCTTTCAGGCCTAGAACAGTTTAGAAAGATTGCCAGAAAACAACAGTAACATAAAAACAAAGCCTGTATCTAATCTTGCAAAAAAAAAAAAAAAAAGAAAAAAAAAGAAAAAAAAAGGCAGAACTGATCCTTCTTTGCTTTTCCCAAGGTACCCTTTTCTGACTTGCATGTCTACTTTAATCCCTTCTGTTTGAGAAGAAACAGTATTTGCATGGATTAGTGAATCAGTGGATATTTTGTTATAATCAATGATAATGACAAATTAAATTTCTTTTTTTTCCAAAGGATTTATTTATGTATTTGAAAGATACACAGAGAGTTACAGAACTACAGAGAGAGAGAATTTCCATCTATTGATTCACTCCCCAAATGACCACAACAGCCAGCACTGCCTCAGCCGAAGCCAGGAGACTGAAACTGGGTCTCCCACGTGGGTGGCAGGGGCCCAACTACTTGGGTCATCTTTTGCTGCCTTCGAGGGGCATTAGTCAGGAGCTGGTTCCAAAGTGGAGCAGACAGGGTCCAGTGTTGTGGCACAGCGGGTAAAGCTGCTGCCTGCAACTCCAGCCTTCCATATGGGCTCTGGTTCATGTCCTGGCTGCTCTACTTCCATCCAGCTCCCTGCTAATATCCTGAGGAAAAGGAGTGGAAGATGGCTCAGGTGTTTGGGCCTCTGCCATCCACATGGGAGACCCGGATGAAGCTGCTGGCTTCAGCTTGACCCAGCTCTGGCCAAGTGGCCAATTGGAGGGTGAACTGGTAGATGGAAGATCTCTGTCTCTGTCTCTGTCTCTGTCTCTCTTTCTCTCTGTAACTCTGACTTTCAAAGTAAGTAATTACATCTTAAAAAAAAAAAAAAACACCACAGATCAAAAGTGGAACAGGTAGGATTCAAACTGGTGTTCCTATGGGTTGCCAGTGTTGCAGGCGTTGGCTTAACCTGTTGTGTCATAACCGTGGCCCTAACACATTGAATTTTGAATTTCTAGATGTATTTCATCTTGGAAAAAAAAGCTACCAATCGCTCATTTTCTTTTTACTTTTTCCTGCAACACAAAAAATAAACCCAGCAGTGAGAAACAAAGAGCTGAACAAATTTTAGAAATTTGAATAGCATAGTCAGGGGAAATTTTTTGTTATCTTTGAACAGAAGCCTATTTTATTTTAGCTAGTAAACATGTTAGTTCTGTGTGGTAAGTTAGCTCATAGTGATGTAAAAATATTTCCATATTATAGATGTTATGTGAAATGCAAAAACCAAAACTGTTTGAAAACAGAGTATTTCCCCAAATGATTTTACTTTTATAGACTCTTAGGTGCTTTTGTACATAAATTTAAAAATAATTTGTTCTAAGAATTTCCTTGCAGACTTTTATAGGATCCTCTTTAAAAACTGTTATGCCTCATTTTTTCAGGCTTTCTACTTTTCATTTCTTAAATAATGTGTCTTCTATTTGAATTTCAGATATCGTGGAAGTGCTGTTTACTCAGCCGAATATTGAACTGAACCAACAGGTGAGATGGCTTATGTGGAAACCAATTTGAACAGCTGCCTTGTTCTCTTTGGTCTCTTGCAGCTTGCAGACATATAGAATATCTTAGTCAAAATACTACAAGTGTATACATTGAAAATTTTTATCGTGCTAAGATCGAAACTGCACAATGCCCCAAATGCCTACCCTGCTCCTCCTTGTATATCACATTTGGCTTTTGCTTCTTTCTTCTTGAGCTTACTGAGCACAAGGATACTGAGGAACACGCTGCCGGAGCTGCTGTGCCCTGTGTAGTCTCCAAATGTACTTTGGCTTCCCACTTGCTTGGTGAAGGTTTAAGTTTGTCAGTAGGTACAGCTCTCATCTCTTAACACCCCAGTTCTCCACTTCTCTTCTGATTCTTCTGTGTATTTTTTCTCCTCTTTTTTTTTTAGAAAGTTTTTATTTAATAAATATAAATTTCATAGGTACAGCTTTTGGAATATAGTGCTTCATCCCCCCATACCCGACCTCCCACTCCTATTCCCGTCCCACCTCCTACTCCTTCTCCCATCCCATTCTTCATTAAGATTCATTTTTAATTATCTTTATATACAGAAGATCAACTCTATACTAGGTAAAGATTTCAACAGTTTATACTCATACAAACACACAAAGTATGAAGTATTGTTTGAAGACTAGTTTTACCGTTAATTCTCATAGTACAACTCATTAAGGACAGAGATCCTACATGGAGAGTAAGTGCAGTTACTCCTGTTGGTGATTTAACAATTGACACTCTTATTTTGACGTCAGTGATCATCTTGTCATGAGCTGCCAAGGCTATGGAAGCCTTTTGAGTCTACAAACTCCGACATTATTTAGACAGGGCCATAATCAAAGTGGGAGTTCTCTCCTCCCTTCAGAGAAAGGTACCTCCTTTTTTGATGGTGCTTCCACTGGGATCTTGCTCACAGAGATCCTTCATGTAGGCCATTTTTTGCCACAGTGTCTTGGCTTTCCATTCCTGAAATGCTCTCATCTCCCATGTATTTTAAAGTTTTTGGTTCTATTGCTATATAATGTTGACATTACTATGGCTGTCTAAATAGTGTTCCCTGTATAACCTTATTTCTTTTTTTTTATTTTTATTTTTTTGACAGGCAGAGTTAGACAGTGAGAGAGAGAGAGAGACAGAAAGAAAGGTCTTCCTTTTTCCGTTGGTTCACCCCCCAAGTGGCCGCTACAGCTGCTGCATTGCGGCCGGCGTGCTGCGCCGATCCGAAGCCAGGAGCCAGGTGCTTCCTCCTGGTCTCCCATGCCGGGGCAGGGCCCAAGGACCTGGCCCATCCTCCTGGGCCACAGCAGAGAGCTGGACTGGAAGAGGAGCAACCGGGACAGAAACCGGCACCCCAACCAGGACTAGAACCCGGGGTGCCAGTGCCGCAGGCGGAGGATTAGCCTAGTGAGCCCTGGCACCGGCGCCTTATTTCTTACTTATTAATTTTTAAGCGTTTTTTTAATGTCACCTAGACATCTGTACTACATCATGTTCTATAGATATACTTGTTCAAAATGTCTAAGAGACTCAGTGAGTTTCTGTTTTCTTCCTTGGACTCACCCTCCCACAGTCCTCCATCCCCATTCTTCAATCTGAGTAACTTATTCCATTGCCCTTTGCTGTCTTCCTGGGTGTCTCCCAGCCCTCTCTGCTGTGTTCTGTCTTTATTTGTCTGGTCCCTAAGTCTCCCTTGTGTTGGAGAACATCTTCAGGTAGATGGATTATTGGGCTGATCAGAATTCTAGACTGAAAACAATTTCAGACCATTGAAGGCATGGCTCTGTGATGTTCTAGTTTCCAGGGTTGCTTTGGAGGGGTTTGATGCCATTCTGTTCCCACTCTTTTATGTGTGACCTGCTTCTTTGTCATTTTATCCATGGTGTTCTAACATTTACAGTGAAGTGCATTAGTGTACATTTCTCCCCATTAATTATGATGAACTCTTAGAAAAAATATCTTATTTCTTTTACAGTTTTTAATGTGAACATTTTCTTTATTGTTTTGATTCTGTAAGTTCCATTAGTAGGATATTGAACTCTAGGGTTAAGCCTGTAGTTTTCTTGGTGTTTATCAGATATTTTTCTCACCTTTGCCTCTGTGTTTTAGTTTGGTTTTAATTCCCCAGAGCTCTGTGTTGGTTTTCTAATGCTATATAGCCAACGACCACATGTTTAGCAATAGATTCTTCTAAAAAGTCAGGATTATGGGCAGGATGCAGCTAACTTCTCTGAGCAGGGTCTCATGGGTAGAAATCAAAGTGTTGGTGGGAACTGGGTTCTGGAGCTCCAGGTCCTCCTCTAAGCTCACTCAGGTTGTCGGAAGAATTGAGTTTATTGTACCACTAGTACTGAGGCCATCAGCTTTTCAAGGCTCACAATGTGGCTGTTTGCTTTCTTCCTCAAGGCCAGTGGGAGCTGGTCTCTGTATTATGTCATCTATTTCAGTTTTTTTAAAAAGATTTATTTTTTATTTGAAAGGCGGTGTTACAGATAGGCAGGGTAGGAGAGAAAGGAAGAGAGAGAGAAAAAGGTCTTCCAACCGCTGTTTCACTCCCCAGTTTGCCACAATGGCTGGAGCTGAGCTGATCCAAAGCAAGGAGCCAGGAGCTTCTTCCCAGTCTCCTACGTGGGTGCAGGGGCCCAAGGACTTGGGTCATCTTTTGCTGCCTTCCCAGGCCATAGCAGGGAGCTGGACTGGAAGTGAAACAGCTGGGCTTTGAAACAGTGCCCACATGAGATGCTGGCACTCTAGGGGGCCACAACACTGAGGCCCCTATTTTAGTTTTTTAAGGGACTACCTCACTGGGTCTGGCCCACCTAAGACAGTCTCCCTTTTTGATAAACTCAGCATCCACTGACTAGAAATCTAATGTGTGGTTTCACCCACACTCAAGGAGAAGGACTCATGAGTATACTTCAAAAGTTCATGGAAAAATGAATTAAAAATATGAGTTTATTTTTGTATAGGAGAAATTTTGATACTCTTGCATAATTTTTTCACAATATGTATTTTTCATGTTATAAATTTTTGTTTGCACCAAAATAAACTCATACTTTTTTTAAAAAGATAAAGGTTTACTTATTTATCTGAAGCTAGGATCCAGGAGCTTCTTCTGGATCTCCCACACGGGTGCAGGGGCCCAAGGACTTTGGTGATCTTCTACTGCTTTCCCAGGCCAAAGCAGAGAGCTGGATTGGAAATGGAACAGTTGAAACTCGAACCAGTGCCCACATCGGATGCCAGCACTGCAGGTGACAGATTTACCTGCTATGCCCCAGCTCTGGCCCCAGCTCATACTTTTAATTCCAATTTTCCACAAAATTTCTGGAGTACTCTCATATTCATGGAGTCTGTACTGGGGTAGGGCAAGGCTTTAGGGGGCCTTAGTAGAATTCCATAAGCTCTTATTTTACTGTGTCACTTTATTAAAAAAATTGGACAGCTTACTGTTTTTTAAAGCATTTATTTTTATTTTATTTGCAAGAGAGACAGAAACAGAGACTTTCCATCTACTGGTTCACTCCTGAAATCCCCACAACATCTGGGGCTGGATCAGGCTGAAGCCAGGAGCCTGGAATTGTAGAGTCTGGTTTTCCACATGGATAGCAGGGGCCAAGTACCTGATCTATCATCTGCTATCTCCCAGGGGGTGCATTAACAGGAAGTTATAATCTGAAACAAAGACAGGACTCAAACCTAGGCATTCAGCATGGGCTGTGGGCATCCTAACTGCTGCCCCAAATGTCCACCTCTGACTGTTAGTTTTAAATACCTCTTTATTTGTTGCATGATGCAGTATCATCTCATATCCCTGTGATGTCTTAGTTGAATAGTTCCCACTTATCCCTGATTTTGTTTTCTGTGGTTTTAGTTACCCATAGTCAACAAGAAGGGGGAGTAAATTGCGATAAGGTATTTTGAGAGGGAGACCGTATCTATAACTTGAATTGTAGCATATTGCTATCCTTGTTCTATTTTCTTCTTGTTGCTTATGTCTTACCAGGTTTAATTTGTAAGTTAAGCTTTAGTACAGACCTGTATGTAGAAGAAAAAGCATCATATATATAGAGTTCAATACTACCTGTGCTTCCCAGCATCTACCAGGGGTCTTGGAAGGTATCCCCTTCAGATAAGGGGCAACATCAGGTAGCTTTTCCCTCTGAGATTAGTTGTTTTGGTATCTTTACCCTTTCTGTACATATTGAAACTTTCCTCTTTGTCCGTCACTGCATTTGGGAGTAGTGTGTGTTTGTGAGGCTTGCCGGCTGGTGGACTTCTCTGACAGGGTGGAGTCATGCGGTTGTGGCTGTTTTGCTGGGCAGTGCTCAAGTACAGTACACACCGTCTCCTCCCCCATTGGGAGGATGGACTGCTTGGTCAGAAAAGTACCCTGCAGTCTCCTGCTCAGGAGTGTACACTTGACTGCCAACACGGGGCAGTGGTCAGGTGAAGGTAGAGAGCTGAGAGAGGTGTCTTACTGTTCAGTCTGTAGGTCTTTCATCTAGCCCCCCTCTCCAGTCTCCCCAGCTTTTAGTTTCTGTCCTGATTGCCACCTTCTCTTGAATCTGTGTCCATGAGCTTGTAACCTCTCTGGCTAATTTCTTGACAGGGTAATTCTGTCATCTTGACTGGGGAACAGTCAAGCAAGGGGAACAGATGGGGGCTTGAAAGTCCTAATTACTTACAAGATCATTTGGTCTCTATTTTCATTCCCTATTGCAATTCCTGCCTCAGCATCTCCAGGAATCTCCAGGCCCTAATCCACACTAGGTGTCTGCTGGAACAAATCTTGCTTGCTCCTTGTTTCTCCCAATGCAGCAGTAGCAGTTCAGCTCTTGCTCTGCCCCATCAGTTTCTACTCCTCCATCCCGTTCTCTCTCTCCAAAATGAGTCATCTTTCCAGCCTCCATTCCTGTCTTCGTTGAAATTTCATGTGGCTCCTTAAATTTGTTTTCACTTTAGGTTTAATTAGATTGAATATAAATTACTATGTGCTTCCAATCCACCCTCTCTCTGTTTTAAAAATGTTATTTTTCTTCTCTGTCACCATAGAACAAGTTGGGAGACACAGCTTTGCATGCTGCTGCCTGGAAGGGTTATGCAGATATTGTCCAGTTGCTTCTGGCAAAAGGTAAAGTTTATGCTGACTTTATCTGGTCTTTGCTTACCCTGAAAAATGTGCTGCATCAAAGGGCACTTTATTTTATTTATTTTAGTTTTTCTTAAGATTTATTTATTTATTTGAAAGGGTGGGTGAGAGAGAGAGAGGTTTTCCATCCTCTGGTTCACTCCCCAAATGGCCACAACTGCAGGACTGGACAAGGCTGAAGCCATGAGCCTGGAGCTCCACCAGGGTCTCCCACACAGGAGGCAGGGACCATCCTCTACTACCTTCCATTCATGTTAACAGGGAGCTGGATCAAGCGGAGCAGCTGGAACTTGAAATGGTGCTTTGACATTCAATTGCAGGTGGCAGCTTAGCTCACTGCACCACAACACTGGCCCCACTACTTATTTTAAAGCTGGAATTTTAAAACTCTACTCTGTATTGCAGAGTTGTTATGAAATTATTGAGGTTGATTTCTGTTAGTTTTTCATATAAATTACAATTTCTTTAAAATTGCATGGGTTACTTTTAGTAGGGACTTACTGTATAGTTCTGTGGAATTATGGGGTCTTGGAAGGAAGGAATTGTGTGCTGTGTGTGTGCATGCATGAGGGAGAACATGTCTGAGAAGGCTGTATGGGTGAAGTTGGCACCTGTTGACACAGCAGAGTCTTGCTAGATAAGAAAGAATGCCATGGCTGCAGTATCTGACTTTGAGCCAAGCGAGTGCCAGAAGTGTAGAAAATGAGAGGATATACTGATCTCCAGTTTTTATGCAGTTCAGAGAGAGCAGTGAAGTTAGGGAATGATTGTCCATTCATTCATGGGTTCCAGATCTATTGAAGTCTTACAGAGGGTCAGGTCCATCACCCCATACCACACCTTGGTCCAAAGGGATATGATGTGGCATGACTGAGTTCCCAAACCACAAGTCATTGGATCGGCCTCATTAGGGAATCCTTGGAGCAACGTTATGGAATATATGAGAGAATTTCTTTTTAATTTTTATTTATTTATGTTTTCATTTTATTTGAAAAGCAGAGAGACAGAGAGAGAAACAGAAATCTTCTATCTGCTGATTCACTCCCCAAATGCCTGTAGCACTTGGAGCTGGCCAGGCCAAAGCCAGGATACCAAAACTCCATCTGGGTCTCCCACGTGGGTGGCAGGGACCCAAGTACTTGCCATCACTTGCTACCTCCCAGGGCACACGTTATTGGAAGCTGGATTGGAGCTGAAGGAGATAGATCTCAAAGCAGGCACACCAATACAGGATGCGACATCCCATTAATCTCTGTGCCAAGTGCCCGCCCTAGGAAATACTTTTTTTATTTTATGTATGTTGATGATGTAAACTCCAGGTCTAAAAGGCCAGATGCCATGAGGACCGCCTTGGTGCTCCCTGATGGTTATACCATGGCCTGAGCTTCCCAGTATGGCAGCCTGTAGCCACATGTGCCACTGAGCCCTTGAGCTGAGATGTGCTGTGCCAAAGACGTGGGAGAACAAGTAAAGCATCACGACAGTTTTTATATTGATTTCATGTTGAAATAATAACATTTCTGATATATTGGGTTAAATACAAATATTACGAAAGCTGATTTCACTTTTTGCAAATGTGACTATTAGAAAATTGAAAGTGATATGGAGGCTCGCGTATGTTTCTGTTAGCACTCGCAGAGGAACGCAGGAACAGTTGTGTTTCTTCTCTAGCATCCCCATCTCTGAGTATTTCCTGTCCTGATAGGAATCCTGTGTTTGAGTTCTCATGTGTAATTTAAACTAGCACATGGTTAGTCATAGAACTGTTAACCTCCAAGTGCTTTCAGCCCACAGTACACTGAGAAAATGTGGCTTTCCACAGAATGCTACCTTTGACCAGATCTGGATCCACTTAGGAGAAAGAGATTTTTGACATGAGGTCATCATATTCCTAATTCAGCATGCTATTTTTTCTTTATTAAGTATTTTTGTGCAGTTTTGTTTTGGGACAGGTATTTTTTGCTTATCAAAGAGGGAGGGGAAGCAAATGGTACTCTCCTGCACCATGCCATAAAGCATAAAATTGGTAGAGCCTTCTTGGAAAGCAACCTAGCAATAGCTGGCTAAATTTAAAATATACTTAGCTTTACATTTTAGCACCACTTCTAGGAAACTCTTTCAGAAACACAGGGAAATAAATATGCTGGTCAAGAATGTTTATTATAGTATTTGGAATGATGAAAATTAGAAACAGTGTCAGTACTCCTTAATAAAATGGTGTTTAAATAAATTGTGAAGCACTCATAAAATGTTCAAATAGATTGAGTTATATTTATGCTGCTAAGGAAGGAGTACCATTGTATGCTGTTAAGTTAAAAAATACAAAATTAGAGCCCAGGACAAATAGTATAGATGTCTGTGAATGCCTTGACACACATTAGGGCGATAAGAACTCATGCCCACTTGTCACCAGTAGCCACCACTCTAGGAAGGGGGTTAAAGTGGTAGCAGGCAGGTGTGTGAAGGAGCAGGTTAAATCGCTGCTTGGGTCACCCGCATCCCACGTGAAGTACTGGTTTGAGTCTGATCCAGTTCCCTGCTAATGTGCTGGGAGGCAATGGATGATGGCTTAAGTACTTGAGTTCCTGCTACCCATGTGGGAGACCTGCATGGGCTTTCTGGCTTCAGCCTGGTCCAACTCCAGCTTTTGTGGCCATTTGGGGAGTGAAGGAACAAGTGATGGAAGATTTCCCTGTCTCACTCTGTGTCACTCTGCCTTTCCAATGAATGAATTAAAAAAAAAGAAGAAGAATGAGAAGATGAATGGTCCTCACTGGAGAGGGTAGAAGATGGGGATGAAATGGGACTTTGTTGGGGATACTTCTGTATTTTAAAATCTTTAACAATGCAAATGTATTCATGAATTCTGATGTAATTTTTAACACAATAACATGCTAATTTGCATGAGAGTATATTTACAAATGGGAAATATGTACCCCATCAAGCTCAAAGTGGATATGGAATGTACACTCCAGACCCTCATGTTGAGCCACCTGTACCCAGTGGGCTCTAAGAGCTGGTTTAGGATTTACCAAGGGGACAGTAAACTCCTCACTGAAGGGCTCCCATATAGTCTTATAGGGACTTGAGGGAGAAGAGGCTGTATTTTAATGGAGCGAGATGAACACAGGGGCAGCAACACACCCTCAGCGGAGACATTGTTTTGAGAGTTTACTTCTGAGTCAGAATTGTTCTCTAGCTAGTTTTGCCAAAAGTGACTAGTTTCTGTGAAGAGGATTGGCTGCCACTATACTATCTTTGAAATCACCTGATTTACTTTTCTTTTGTTCTGAAGGAGCTAGAACAGATTTAAGGAACAATGAGAAGAAGCTGGCCTTGGACATGGCGACCAATGCTGCCTGTGCATCTCTCCTGAAAAAGAAACAGGGAGCAGGTATTTGTTTTAAATCCCCCTTTTCTTCTCATGCCCTCACGATTTAGGTGGGTCAACTTGCTGTTGATTTGATTATATATGTTTGGTTATATATGATTATATACCTTTGATCTAATTAGAACCAGTATAGAGCACCCTCAAGAAAACAGAAGTTTGAAGAGAGGTATAGGCTTTTGTTGTTTTTAATTTTTTTAAGACATTAATTTGAAAGGCAGAGCAACACAGAGAAAAGAGACAGAGAGATAGGAAAAGAAGTCTTCCATCCTCTGGTTGACTTCCCAAAGGCTGCAATGGCTGGGCTGAGCTAGGCCAAAACCAGGAGCCAAGAACTTCAGTCAGGACTCCTATGTGAGTGCAGGAACCCCAAGTACCTAGACCATCATCTGTTGCTTCTCAGGCTTATTAGCAAGAAGATGGATCAGAAGCAGAGCAGCTGGGACTCTAACTAGTAATAGGTATGAGATGAGACATCCCAAGTAGCAGCTTAATTGCTGCACCGCAGTGCCCACCCATTTTTACTGTTTTTAAATTTTTTGTTGTTGTTCCTTATTTTCAAGTTTTAGTCATCTTGCTTTTCATGACAGTCCTTTTCAGAGTACCATGGTCTCCATGCCTTCATTTCAGATACATGTTTATGAGTGCTTATGAATAAATTTTTTAAAATTAGGTCTATAGCTCTGTTCTTACATTTTGTTTTTAATTTAAATGAGAATATCAGTAAGCTATAATCAGTTTTATAGACTTTGTTAAATATTTTTTAAGTTATCCATTGTATTCTGATTTTTTTAAAAAACAGTATAGATGTATATTCTTAAATCAAAACTATGTATTGATGTGGGAAAATAAGTGAAAAAATGAAAAAAGCTTGTGTGGTGGTTTTGAAAGGAAGGTGTTAGAACATATCACGTCATTCATGACTACTGGCTGTTTATCTGACCTCAGTTTGTGGCCTGTTGAACCCACTGCTCTCAAGATTAATTCTCACAAATGCTGAGAGGATGTGCTTTGAGACTTTTCCTTCCAACTGCTGCCTTTTTCCCCCTTTCCATTCGCTGTCAGCCTCCTGGCTCATGCCAAGCCCAGAGATGTAGAAAAGTGAAAGGTAGAAGGTTTGGGTGGAGAGATGTTAAATTCCTTTATTTTTACTTTTCCAGTGTGTTTCTACTATGTTTGAATACTTTAATACCACTTTGAAGCCTAAACAAAAATTTTTTCAAATCAACAAAAACATTTTTTCCCACCATTTTCTAGAAAGAATTGAGCATAGTAGAAGACTCACCTCCTCAACTCCTTGGCACTGTTCCTTATTCCAAAAAAATTTTTAGTGCTGCTTCAGAATATAAACTTCAGACTGATTCATGTAGGAGAATCATCAAAATAGCCTTTGAGCAAGCGAATTCCTATGACAGACGTGAAGGACATTTGTTTCCCTCTTAACTGGAGGAACTTTCAGTTTTCAACCTGTGTTATAGCATACAGACTACTTTTCTTTTTTTACTAATTTAACTGAGTTCCCACTAATGTGTGAATGCTTAGAACACTAACTTCTTTCAGGTATCCTTTGTTTTATGAGAAGAGGCAATGCTATGCCCACTCCATTTTTCCATTCGTCGTAGCAGCCACAAAATAAAGGCAGGGCCTTGGTCTCCTGCTTTAGTTAATCAGTAGTGGTAAACAGTCCCCTCTCTTCATGGTCTCCGAAGGGAGTTTTCCTTATCTAGGATAACATCCCCATCAAAATCCTCCTCACAAATCTATTTTCCCTTATTCCAGATATGTCTGTGTCCCAGATTCTGATTCTGATTTTTAATCTCAGCTCAGATATAGTAAAAACCATTCATTAGTTTGGAGTTGCTTGTTTAAGCCATGAAAACTCACTGGCAGAACAAGTCTTTCTTGAAAATAGCTTCTCATTGCTGGGGGCTGGTTCAGTTAAGGAGCTGAGGAAGTATTTATCCGCTGAGCTTGTATGTCCTGGCTGCGCTGGGACTGAGAACCAGCGTGTAGGAGAGACGCATTTGCTTGAGCTGTGTGTCCCACTCCTTGGTCATCTCTGTTTTTGTCAGTTGGTTTAGATCTAAAGGTCTGATCTGATTTAGAGTCCCCTTATCCAGCTGTTTGTCAGTCTGCTGTCATGTATTTTTCCTTGGGAGGGAGGGAAGAATACATCGTATAGAATATCATATTCTTCCATCAGAGGCACATGATATCTGGTTGTCACTCTTCCTGTTACGTTAGCAGCTGCTTGTGATCATTCTCTAAATCTTTTTCTTCACTAATGGTTGCAAAATGGTGATACTCTATGTCCGTCCTTTTTTTTTAAAAAAAATTATTTATTTGAAAGAGTTACAGAGAGAGGGAAAAAGGGGGAGGGGGAAGATCTTCTATCCGCTAGTTCAGTCCCCAGATGACTGCAAGCCAGGAGATTCCTCTGCCTCACATGTTGTTAGCAAGAACCCCAAGGACTTGGGCCATTTTCTGCTGCTTTTCCCAGGCCATTAGCAGGGAGCTGGATCAGAAGTGGAGCAACTGGGATTTGAACCTGCACCCATAGGGGATGCCGGTATCGCAGGTGGCAGCTTTACCTGTTATGCCAGAGCTCTGGCCCCAGTCACTCCTTCCTCAGTCCTTAGCCAGGACTTACTATAAAGAAATATCTGCCCTTATCAAATCTCTGTTTACTCAGAGGTATGGTTTGTGGAACAGGGCAAAGTAAATACTTGTTTTGTGCTTATTATTTAAAGAATTTTCCTAATAATTAACTACTTATCATTATCTGAATGGACCCAAATGAATTCCGTTTGATGTGTAGTGAAATATTAGATGTGCTTAATCCATTATAATGGGCGACCTTATGGATAACCTGTCTTTGGCTAGTGGAGTCCTTTGCACTTTGGACACTGAACCGTTTTCCCATGATGCTGTCTTTGATGCGATCCTTGCCTTTTGGTGTGTTAAAGGTTCTAGTTCCTTCTCTTACAGTTCCCACCTCAGACTTGGATTAGTCAGCTGTCCAGTTAGCTTTGGGGAAAAGGATTTTAGAGACCATGACCTTGGTGTTAGTGATGTAACATACTGAGCTCTGGCAATGTGTCTGCTTGCATGCCAGTTTTCCTCCTACAATTACATGTAGGGTGATCTTCCTCCAAGAATCTGACCAGACAGTTGAATAGGTCAGGTGTCTTCTTTTGAGCCCTGCTCCGGGTTGATTTAAAACTTTCTGTTGTAAAAGGGTTTTGTTGTTGTTATGTTGGTTTGGTTTGTTTTTGTTCGTTTCAGTCTTTTGCTTCTGAGCATACTTTATTTTCAGTTTTTTCTAAAATGGAACTAAAGCTTCTATGTTTTCATTCTTTTGGTTTTCTGCCTCATTCATTCGTTCTTTCTACGCAGTGACCTTGCCTTCAGCCAAGGGCTCAGGCTGTGGAGCAACTAAAGCCACGTGCACGCTTGTCCCTAGGGGGAAGAGGTTGGCAGCACGTGTTCAGAGAAGAGTGGCTGCTGCTGTGTTCCGTGTTGGTCCTGGTGCCTGTGGCTGATGGGTTTCTCTTGGGAACAGGTGGCCCTCTCTTAGCGCCACATGACTTGCTCTTCTGCCTAATGAGCTTGCAGGCGATTGTAGTTGTCAGGCTCTGTGACAGCAGCAACTTCACACCCTGAGCAAGCAACCGCAGGAACAGGTCTTCAGAGAGCGTATAACCGCTGGGTTACAGTTTGTTGAATTGTTAAGAGCTTTGAAAGTGAAGAAAAATATCTGAGCAATTCATAATTTTTCTGGTTTGTTTTCCTTCCCCGTTCGTTTCAGATGCGGTTCGGACATTAAGCAATGCTGAGGACTATCTTGATGATGAAGACTCTGATTAATTCCATTCTGGAGCTTGAGATCTAAAATTTCTGTTGCCTTTGCCATTCCAAAAACCTTGTCTTTGCCAGAAGAGTGTTGGAAACTTTTTTTTTTTTTATAAAAGAATATATGAATGTGGCAGTGTTGCACCATGTTTGAGTAGAACATGTAAATGAATAGTTCTCATCTTTGGTTTGCCAATAAGTGACTAGTTACCGTGCTGTATAAAATACATTTATGTTCACCAGAGTAGAACAAGAAAAGATTATTTCTATTTATCAAGCTAAACGAAGTTTAAGAATCAAGATTTGTGTTTTTTTGTTTTTGTTTTTGTTTTTAGTTAAAGTTCTTTACCTCAAGGATTGAGATATTTTTGAATGGGTTTTTCGGGGAGGGGTGCTTATTATAATAATAAACCAGAATACTTAACAGAAATTTGTCAGCTATTCTGACAAAAATAAACATTTTAAGAGACTTTATTCCTTTTGTCTGTCTTTGTGGTATCCATCACTGCTGATAAATAAAGCTTTTTATATTTAAGTAAGAACTGATTTTATTATTTTATTTATTTTTATTTATATTAAGTTATTGCATCACAGTAGCCGTGTTTCTGTTCAGCTTCCTGTATCTCCTTGATCTGATTAAAGTCACGATTTTTATCATTGAAAAGGTACATGTCTATATAATTTTAATAATAAAGACTTCTTGTTTTATCTGTAAGGTGACACTTAGAGTAAAGAAACCCAGTTTGCTTAAGATTTGAGAGGTTAGAAAAATTGATTTCCTTATGAGTGATGCCATAGTTCTCCACATGGAGTAGTCAGGAGCCGTGGCACTTTTTTGCATTCAGTTTTTCTGCTTTGATGACATTTCTTTTCTCAAAGCACGGGTCTGGCTCGCAGTGGTTCAGTTTTTCGCTAGAACGTCAGCATGGCGTGGAGCCTTCTGTTACCGAGGTGACATCTTAGCTGAGGTTACGGTATTGTGTCACTACACGTGATGATATTAAAATTGTCCTGGCCATTGCAGTTTCCTTGACTCCAGGGCCTGTGTCTAGAAGCATGTTCTATAAGACTTCTGTGCTCATTTCAAAAACACTTTGGTGAAGAGAAGGAAATGCCTGAAGAAGGAAGTGAGTTAGCTCAGGAAGTGAATAGCTGCCTCTGTGCAAAGTTTCTCCTGTCTGTAACTCACCAGATCTTCCCTTTGTAGGTGCCTTGAGAAGAATACCCAGAGCAGCCGGCTCTAGGTTTCTCCAGCAGCCCAACTCGGCATTTGTAGAAAGGGGTGTGTATAGGCAGTGACGACAGAGAATGGTCACAATTCTGGGACTTCTAATAGAAGGTATTCTGTTGGCTTATTACATTTGACTTAGCCATTTACATTTCTTCATAAACATAGCCTTGAAGGTATGAAGTCCTTCTTGCAATTGTTTCTCTTCCTGCAGAACCTTTGAGTTTTGTGCCTTAAACAAAAGCTTTTGGAGACCCTTGCTCCTGTCATTTTTACTTTTCTCTACTTTGAGCTTGTGGTGAGTGTGGATACCACTGAAACCTTCTTCACTTTTTTAACACAGGCAGCAATAATGTAGTTAGTGTGACTGTAGATACTGTACAAATACTGTGAGCTTGATTTAGGAATATTGTTTATGTATCTAAGGCAAAGAAGAACGAGACTTCACTGTCACTGCTTTTAGCATTATTAAACCTGTGAGAGTTCTTGAAAATTGGCTGTCTAGGTTTCTGGGGGGTGAGGGAGGCCTTAGCTATATGCATGAGGTTTTGGTGAACGAGACAACTTATTGTGTTGTGGGTAAAAGTCCATGGGAAATGTAGTTTTGCTTTCTTGTTTATTCAGCTAGCTGATCTGAGCTTTCTCAGAGATACTTTAGTGCTGAGCTCAGCGGCAAAAATCAGTTCTAGGAACTTGCCACTGCTCTGACTGCAGAGGAGAGCTTTGATTGTGTTCTGGAAATGACTTGGGAGGTTCTGCTGTAACCTGAGCTTTCTGCGAGTCACTGTGGCCTGAGCTCCTTCCCAGCCATCGCATCCCGTAGATAGAAAATGCCCTCCAGTACACTTGGGCAGCTGCAGGTCAGGGAGCCTCATGAAAGAACAGTATTTTATCAGGGGTTCCCTTTCGCCTTTCTTTCTGGGACTAGTCAATTGTAAATCTCTTGTTTTTGACCTGCCATACATTATAGCTGTCAGCTTCTCTGTTAGGCAGCTCCCACTTGCTCCTTTCTTTCAGTAGATTAGCCCGGTTATTACCCAAAGGGAAATGTTGAGTGAGGCAGTAGTTGCCTTATTTTTGTAATCTGAAAACAGAAGTTGGAAATAATGCTAAAGGTGAAATTTCAGATAATTTTAATAGAAGGAAAGTATATTTTTGGCCGGCGCCGCGGCTCACTAGGCTAATCCTCCGCCTTGCGGCGCCGGCACACTGGGTTCTAGTCCCAGTCAGGGCGCCGGATTCTGTCCCGGTTGCCCCTCTTCCAGGCCAGCTCTCTGCTGTGGCCAGGGAGTGCAGTGGAGGATGGCCCAAGTACTTGGGTCCTGCACCCCATGGGTGACCAGGATAAGTACCTGGCTCCTGCCATCGGATCAGCATGGTGCGTTGGCCGCAGCGCGCCAGCTGCGGCGGCCATTGGAGGGTGAACCAACGGCAAAAAAGGAAGACCTTTCTCTCTGTCTCTCTCTCTCACTGTCTACTCTGCCTGTCAAAAAAAAAATTTTTTTTTTCATATAAGCCTTTTTCATAAAATGTTCTTTGTGTAGGATTTATGATCCACTGATATTTGCTGATATTGGTGGCCACTATTATTTCTCATCTTCGTAAATGATGATTTCTTTTCTGATAGGCTAACATTTACATCTGATCATCTGTATTTCTCTATTTACTTTGAAAATTTTCTCCACTTTTTTGTTGTTGTAAATATGTATATAGGAGTAATACATAGAACAGGAATACTTGGACAGCCAAACTTTATAAAGTGTCTCATTACTGAAAGCTGGGGTTTTAGTTGGAGAGTAGTGCAAAAAATTATGCTAGCCCTATTTTTACTGCAAATGCAGCTTTGGTGTACAGTTTTCTCAAGGAAAAATTGCAGACCTCAAATTTATGGTTTATATCTTATTTCTTAATAACTAGCTTTTACATCTGATCCTCCCCTAAAATGACATAAAATTAAATAAAACTACCATTTATTAAATGCCTAGTCTGCCAGATGCTGTGTGAGACATTTTCACAGACATGGTATCATTTGATGTTTATAGCAACCTCAGCAATGAGCATGGATGCCTCTATGTTTTTACAAAAAAGCTGAGATTTGCATAAGTTAAGTACTGGGTCAAGTTCACACTGCTTGAAGGTGGATGTGCAAGTCTCATGGAAACCTGAGCCTGTACATTTGCTGCCCACTGCATCTGCCAGAAGTTACCATTCACATCCTTTCAGTAGAATATAGGATATATGGGATAGACATTGGGTACAATGATTTTGACACTACTTGGGATGCCCATATCACATATTGGAGTGGTTGGGTTTGAGTTCTGTCTCTACTTCCAATTCTAGCTTCCAGTTAATATGCATTCTGGGAGGCAGCAGGTAATGGCTCAAGTACTTGGCTCAAGTACCTTCTACCTATGTGGGAGATCTGGATTATATTTCTGGTTCTTAGCTTTAACCAGGCCCAGCCCTGGCTCTTATGGGTATTTGGAGAGTAAATCAACAGATGGAAGATCTCTGTCTATCTCTATCTTTCTTTCTCTCTCTCTCTGCCTTTCAGATAAAATGAAAAATAAAAAAATGAAAATTATTCTTAAAAATTAAAAAAATACAGAAACAGACCAGCTCCTTTTCCAACTCAGCAACCTGATCTGAAGGAAATACCACTGTCCTCTACTCATTTAGAAGTATGGGGGAAAGAGGGATTGGCCTTGTGGCACAGGCATTCCATATCAAAGCAGCAGTTTGAGCCCCTGATGCACTGGGAGTTTTGTTGAATATAACATTTACTTTTTGTGAGTTATGGAGAATTATATAACTAGAAAAGAACTGGATATTATTGTTATTAAAGTGACCCAGAGCAAGTGGGGGAGAATTCTGCTTTACATTATTGTTTCTGAGTCATTTGATGGTCTTGAAAATCCATGGGTCCAATATTTGTTTCCTCATGATTTCCAATCAGAAAGGTATTGGGTATAACCAACTTGCTCTTACATTACGTCAAAATGGAAACAATCTAGTTATCCCTATAAGGTCTAGGTTTCAAGAATTCAGTCTCACAATGCCAATGAGATAAAAACAGGGAATCTAAGACACCTAGAAATGGAGTCACAAAATCATCATTAGTTTTGAACATGGCCAAAGAGTTAAGAACTGAATTGGATACTTCATAATCCACCCTACTAGGAAGTAAACTCCTGAGGCCACAATAAACGATCTTAAACCATGAGTGAATCTGAAATGCAGAAATGAAGCCTGTTTGGACAAAGAATTGCTTGAAGAATCAATCAAGGTCATTCATTGACTGAGACTAGAAAGAACTTCAGAGAAATCCACAGTCTTAAAATGTTTCTCTGTGACACTAGGGCTCAGGGGAAGCCTGGATTGCAGCTGTCTCCTGGTCATTTCTTTTCTCCATCAGGTTCTTATTTGTTTATTTGAAAAAAGAGAAAGATAAAGATCTAGAGAGACAGAGATCTTCCATCTGCTGAATCACTCCCCCAATGCCTACATTGCTGGGCCGGGCCAGCCCAAAGCTAGCAGCCTGGAACTCAATCCAGGTTTTCCTTATGGGTGGCAGGGACTCAAACTGCATGAGACATCACCTGCTGCCTCTCGGGGTGCACATTAGCAAGAATGCTGGATCAGAAGCAGAGACAGACACCCTAATATGGAATGTGAGTGTCTTAAGCCCTGTGTCAAATGCCTGTCCCTCACCCTGTCATTTCTGAGGCTGTGACATTGGACTCTTTGTATCTGTGACAAGCATAGGGTTATGCTGACTCCTTCTTTTGTGACTAAGATGTCATTGCTACATCCAGTTTTAGAGGATCATGATCAAGGACCTGATTTTTGAGAACCTCAGGTTACAGCATAACCCACTGTTGTTGCTCCAATGTCAGCTTTCTGGTGTGTGATGCCCCTTATCTGCACCGGAACACATGACAGAGCCTTCTGTTGAATCTTTAGATGTTGGGTTTAAGGAGGAGAGGGCACTCAGGGGTCTTCCACTTAGAGCTCAGAGTATGTGAGTGTGGTGTGGTGTAGTCAGAGGTTTTCACTGGGTCACTGCAGTCAGCAGTGCTGGCTGGGAGTATCTCTCCTGAGTCCTGTGCTTCTCAAAGAGTGTTTATATTTTGGCTTCCACTTACAGACACTGGATGGCATTTGGGATGCCTTTCTTTCATTCAAAATTAGAAATGGTTCCTTATCATCTCCTTTCCATTCTTTATTATGAATTAGCAGTTGTTTT